CATGACCCTCAGTACACTCATCTGGATCCTGGAGATACTCATCCACTACTCGCAATGGCTGCGTGATCTTGGCTCAGTACCATGGGCTCTCTCAGCCTCAGTTTCCTTGACTGTAAAATGGGGATAATTCTCCCCACCAAGGCTGGTGTGAACATTTGATGAGATGAGGACTCTAACCTACCCACCCAGAGCCAGGCTGCTCAATAACATGCCTGCCCAGTCCTTATCCTCTCCTACCAGGACCACTGGATGCCAGCCTCGTGGTGTCCCCTTCTCCCTCGATCTGTGACATACTTTCCCCTTCCCACCAGCTAGTTTCCACTCCTCCTCCAGGAAGCCTTCCCTATTGCCTCCTGGCTGGGTTAGGAGTCCCTCTTCGGGGTTCTCATATCCCATTATAACCTTCATTCTTCCTGGCCAGGACCATCTAAGTCTAGGTCTGTTTCCCCTGTAGCCTACAAGGCCCAGAGAGCAGAGCCTGGACCTGGGCCTAATCCCCTCTCCAACATTGCCCAGCCCAAGGTCTGGTGCCGAGCAAGTGTTCAGGAAATGCTGCATGGTGGAATGAAGAAATACACAAAAGAAAGAATACTGAGACTGGCAGCTCTCCCTGAGGGTGTGACCAGAGCCCCTGAGAACATCATGCACGAATCCACAAGACCAGGCAACCGGACCTCCCAGAATCTTACCAGCCTCAACCAAACTATAAAGTTCTGTTCCTGGAAGCACAACAAGTACATCTTTGTCAAGTGCTTGCCGGAGGCAGGCTCACCATCTGCCTTCCCAAGGTTCCTCCCTAAGTTCAAGGTCTCTTGTTTCCACTCAACCCCTATGCCACTCCAGACAGAAATCTGATCCCAACCACGCCCCCAGCTCAAAAGCAGGAGCCTCTTATTCGTGAGGATGTTATGAATACTAGGACCAAATAAAGTGTGAGTGTGGTACAAAAGTAAGTGGGTCGGTTGCTTATTTTTTAATAGATGAAGGAAGTTGTTGGTTCTTAGAGGTGACAGGCATTGGGAAAAACCAGAGATCAAGGGAGGGGTCTGGAGGTTTCCCAGACTCCTCCCTCACCCTAACATCCAGCCAGTTGGTCCCGAAGTCTCTCTGGTGAAACACCATAAACATCTCTCTGCACTCTCCACACCTCTCCACCCCCTTTAGTCCCTGCTCCAGCTCAGAACTCATCCTCTCCTTTGAGAAGCTCACCAAGTCTCCCGTCTGCTCCCCACCCAGCCTGAGAGCAATGCCCTACTCCTGCTCAAAATCCTTCTTCGGCTCCCCATCAAGATAAAGGCTAAGATGCTCAGTGTGACATTCAAGCCCCTTCCTCCCCTGCTTCTGGCTCCCTCTTCGCCTCCCAGTCCACAGTGCAGTCAGACCAGACAAACCTAGACATGGATATTGAGATACCCCAGCCTCCTGCATGTCTTCACAGGGGCTGTTCCCTTTCCCCACACAGTAAACTCCTATGCATGCTTCAGAACCCTGCTGCAGTGGCTCCTCCTCTGTGACTCCCAGCAGGTCCTCTCCCTCCCCTAAGCCCATCCACCCAATCCCAACTTTCCCGCCTCAGTGAGCACACTGGGGGTGGAATGTCTGTGCCCAGCCCACCATTCCCAACTAGTCTGAGACTCTTCAAGGCCAGGGAATGATTTATACCCCTCCCCATTTCCCATTCTGTTCTCACACCCCCAGCCTAACAGGAATGGCCCCCAAGCTGGAGACAGTCAGACACAACTACCGCAGAAAACATGCCCCCACCCATACCCCACACAGCAGAGAGATTTTCTAAGACTGCGGTCCTCAACCCCAGGGCCGTGGAGCTGTACTGGAGCTGTACTGTGGCCTATTAGTTAGGGACAGGGCCACAGAGCTCTGCTGCCCCCCCCACCCCCCAGCCATCTGTGGAAAAATTATCTTCCATGAAACTGGTCCCTGGTGCCAAACAGGCTGGGGACCGCTGTTCTAAAACATAACCTCCCCCTGCACAAAACCCTGCCATAGCTCCCCAGTGCCCCCAGATAAAGACCAAGCTCCACAGCTTGCTAAAGGAGGCCCTGCATGATCCAGGCCCTCTCACACCTCTGGCCTTCGCCCACGACCTCCCCTGTCTGGGGAACTCCTACCTCTCCTTGGAAACCAGCTCCTATGTCCACTGCTCTGTGAGCTCCTCCTAGACTTCTCTAGCTATTGCCTTCGGATTTCTCTTCCACCTCCTCATTGCCCACAGGACACAGCTCAAAATCACAAAGTCCTACATCCTCTAGCTCCTCTCAACCCTGCAGCCTCTGGCTCACTGGTTGTCTTCTTGTATTCTACGTTTTAGCAAACCAGATTTCTGGTTCCTCAAAAGCATCACACTCCCCTGCTTCCCAGCCTTTGCATGGGCTATTCTCTGTGCCTGGAATGCCCTTCTGCCCCCTCGTACACAAGCCTCTGGGTGTCAGGTATACCCCACGCCAAGTCAGATGTATTCTCTGGCCTTCCCCACTCCCTGGCAGTGGGTTTGTCTCCCCCACTGACTGGGAGCCCATAAGGTAGGGCTGGCATCTTTGCACAGACTGTTCCCTCCTTCTGGAATGCTCTTCCTCCCCCTCCTGACTGATTCCCATGGGTCCTTCCCATCTCAGCTCAGGCATCTCCTCCTCTAAGATGCCTCTCTGCTCTCCCCTGCCCCCAGGTCAAGCATTTCCTCTGGGCTCTCTCAGGCCTGTGGGGTTCCTCCATCACAGACCACTCTGGGCTGTCACTGTGAATGTGTTTGTCTCTCCCATTGGAATCCCAGCTCTAAGTACCAGGGATTGCTGGGGCTGTCTTGGACTCTGTTATGTCCCATGTGGCACATGAATGCCTACAAAAAATGCTTTTATTGAAGTACCTTTAAACCAACAATAATAATGATCTTAATACTATTTATTGAACATTTACTATATGCCATGAATCAGGCATGTTAAATACCTTGTCTCACTTAATTCCAACAACTCTATGAGGTGACTACTATTGCTATCCCCATTTGGGGGTCAGGGAAGCTGAACCTCAGAGGAAGGAAATCACTTGCCCAAAGTCACAAAGCTAGTAAGAAGGAGAGCCATATTCAAAGCCAGGTGACTGGACTCAGAGTTTGAGTTTTTAACAATTACTTAGAAGACCCCTCACTGATGCTCCTGGCTTGTAACCATCCATCTGGGTCTCGGTGCATCTCCCCACCAGACTTTGAGGACTTCCAGGGCAGGGCTCAGGTTGGTTGAAACCCTGGGTGTCCAGCATTTTAGAGCAAAAGACCTCGACCAGAACCAGGCTCTGAGAAAGTGGTAAATGGATGAATGCACAAATGAATGAACTAGCAGCGAATTAGTGACTGACCCACGCAGCCCCACTCACCCTCGATGAGCCACTCGCAGTTGCCATTGACGCTGTAGTTGCCGGCACCATCGGTCACGAAGCCTGGCGCCTCCCGCAGCACCTGCCGCTGCCCCTTGCAGTCCCCCGCCCGGGCCCCGGGGGATAGCGAGCCCAACATGGCCAAGGCCAGGGCCAGTGCCATGGCCAGAGCTTCAACCAGGGCCATCGCCGCCTCTCACACGGCTCCCCTTAGAGACAGCCCCGGCCGTAAAGACGTGGAGAGCACCCTCTACCCCCCTTAAGGCCCTGCAAATGCGACCTCTAAAGGCATAGCAGGACTGTGTAGACCGAGGAGGTCCGGGAGACGCAGTCCCTGCAAAGGGAACGGCCGCTGTTGACGAGCTCTGGAAGCCGAGAAGCGGGCCCTATAAACCGATGGAAGGCCCTGTATATGAAGTCATTATGGTTGGGGACAACCCCTAGGGACCGTGAGGGTCCCCTATAGACACAAGCCCCCATAGAGAGGCCGACCCCATAAAGTGTCCAGCAGTTACAGACTCAGGCCGCTGCAGGCCAAAACGGACCTTATAGATGGACGGGTCCCCAGGGGGCGAAGGGCTCTACGGCCCGGCAGGGGCCTCTGTGGAAGGTGCAGGCCGGGACAGGCCAGGCTCGGATGGTCGGGGAGAGACTCCTCCAGCCGGGGGCGGGGTGCGAGCGGGCGCCGGGGGCGGAGCCAGGCTTCAGGGGCTCGGGCCGGGACCCCATAGACGCGCTCCTTTCGCTCACCCACCCGCGCCTCCCTCCAGAGCCAGATAGGCCAGATCAGAGAGACGAGGGGACGCTTGGGCCAGAGCGGCCCCGGGAAGACCCGCTGGGAGGGCGAGGGGGCGGGCCCCGAGCGGCCGCTGTGGGAGGGCTGGCGAAGAGGAGACGAGAAGTTGCAGAGCGGCGGTCAGAGCGGCCCTGGGAGGACTGCGGAGCGCCCAACCCCCCCCTGCAAAGAAAGACTTCCGGAAATTTCCCCGCCCATTTGTTCCCAGCCGCATGCGCAGCAGCGGTCTCCAAGGCTAGCGAAGAGAGACTCACACATGCGCAGTGCTAAGATCGTAACCCAAACTCGGGATGCCGGTGGCTGAGTAAAACCTGTGCCACTGGAGGGCGCCTCTACCTCTAGCTGCAGAAGGGAAGATAAAAATAAAGGAGCGGCGCAGTAAGAGGGCCCTGCTAGATCGATTTCTTCGACGCTCCCAGATTTGGGTCAACATACGGGTCAAGTTATGCAGGTCCCTGCCTCCTGACCCAAAATGACATTTCACAGATGGGCACATTGAGGTCCCGAGCCGGAAACGGCCCTGGCTCAGCCCTGCCGCTGATCACCTTAAAGATTTAAAAGAAGTCATGTTGTAGATAAAAACTCAACGAATCCTCTTTATTTTGGCAAGAAGGGGGAAAAAGTCTTTCTGCTAGGGACCTGAGGGACGGCCCCTGGACTGGAGATGGGGGCGGACCGAGCACGGGTCTGCGGTTACAGATCCGAGGGAGGGCTTCAGGGTCGAGACCAGCATCACAATATCCATCCCGGGAGCAGTGATCGGGGTCCGGAGTCCTGGAGAGTCACAGGCAGGGTCCCGGCAGTCCTCACGGGCGTTCCGGAGTCCGGCGGGCTCAGAGGTCTCGGAGGGGGCCGGGGGGCCGGAGGTCACGGAACAGCGGGAGCCCAGAATCCGGCGCCGCTCGGGGCAGGGGCTGAGGGAGGGGACGGGGAGAGCGGCTCCCGCGGGACCGTTTGGCACAAGAGGAGAGGGGGGCGGGACGCAGCGCACCCGACGTGGGTGCGCGGGGTGGGGAGGGGAGGGAAGGCCCGGGATGGCCGAGCGCCGGGGCCGGGATAAAGCAGGGGTCCAGAGCCCGGCCGGGCCGGCGCGCGGCTCCTGGGCTGGGGCGGGCAGGGGTGCTCAGACCGGGGGTGCGGTGCCCCCGGCCGTGTGCATGCTGAAGTATTCGGTGAAGCCGGTGTGCGGCACCGCCGTCTGGGGCACCAGCGGCCGGTAGGGTGGCGTCGGGCCATCCCAGCCCGGGTCGGCCGCCTTGGGGAACCGAGCGGGAGGGGACGGGGAGGCTGCGCCCGGCTCGGCCATGGTCACCACGCGGCCCCTCGGGGCCACCGCCGCCGCCACCGCCGTCTCCTCCACCTGCTTCCCGGCCTGGGAGGGGGGTCAGGGTCAGAGGCCGTCCGGAACCCTCGGGGGGCAGATGCGGCCCCGAAGGCCCGTCCCCCTCCCCACGGAGGACCCCTCCACCCCAGGTATGGACGCACGTGTCAGTCAGGGAAGGAGTGGGTGGCGGGGCGCCTGGGCAGCGGGGCCAGGTACTCAAGGGGCGGCGTTGGGGTGCGCCGGGCGAACTCCGGCGGCGGCCGGGGAGCTGGGGGAGACCCGCGGAAAGCGAGCGGCGGGGGCACGGCGCGTGGCGTCTGCGGGGGCGTGCGCAACAGCGCCAGGACCCAGTCCGGCAGGGTGGGCGCGGGCGCTGGGGGACAGTCGCGGCGGGGTATGGGGGCGCGGGGCGTGCGAAAGGCGGGGGGCGGGCTCAGGCACCCGGGAGTGGGAGCGGGGGGCGGCGGCGGGGCCGGGAGCGGGGTCAGGTACTCCAGGGGCGGCGCCAGCAGCTCCTCGGGCGCTGGGGCCGCGGAGCTTACGGAGGAGGCGGGCGGGGGTATGGAGAAGAGCTCCGTGAAGTTGGGCACCGAGTCGCTGATGAATGTCACGTTCCCATAGACGTGCTGCGGGAAGGCCTTGTCAGACGATTGGCTCCCTCCTGGTCCAGGGGCCCCAGCTGACGCGATCTGCGACGTGCGCACGTGGTACGGGAAGTTCTTGTTGGCAGCCGATGGGCGAGTCATGATCTGCAGCGAGGGGCCAGGAGCAGGTTGGAGAAGCACTGTCCAGGCCCCAGGCTGTCTCCATAAATTTGGGGTCCTAAGGATTCTCCTTCAGTTGGCATCTCCCACACTTCCCTAAAACCATTCAGAGTGGATTAGGCACCTTCTCTGGGCTCTTACAATGCTCTGAGCCCTGACCTTTTCCCTTCAGCACAACTCTTACTGCTCTGCCTATGCTTCCTCCAGCAGAGCCAGGATCACTGAGCGATCACTGATTGCTTAAGATCAGTATCCTGCACTATCCAGTATGATAGCCACTGGCCACATATGGCTTAAATTTAATCAAAATTAAACCAAAATTTTAGCTTCTCAGTCACACTATCCACATTCAAGTGCTGACAGCCACATGGGGTTAGTAGCCACCATATTGGACAACACAGATTATAGAATATTTTCATAAACACAAAAACTTCAATTGGACAACAGCTAATAGAATCTAGAATGTTAGCTCAATGAGGGTAGGAACCTGACTCTTTTGATCCATGCTGAATCCCCAGTACCTTCTAGAACAGTGCCTGGGACACATAAGCCCTCAATAAATATTGGTTGAGGCCGGGCATGGTAGCTCACGCCTATAATCCTAGCACGTTGAGAGGCTCAGGTGAGAGGATTGCTTGAGGCCAGGAGTTGGAGACCAGCCTGAGCAAGATTGAGACCCCGTCTGTACAAAATATAGAAAAAATTAGCTGGGCATGGTGGCACGTGCCTGTAGTCCCAACTACTCAGAAAGCTGAGGCTGGAGGATCTCTGGAGCCTGAAAGTTTGAGGTTGCAGTGAGCTAAGATGACGCCACTACACTCTAGCCCAGGCGACAGAGTAAGACTTTATCTCAAAAGAAAAAAGAAAAAAATATTGGTTGAAGGTAGAGATGTCTGATACTAGTTAGTCTGGTGGGCCATAAGGGCAGGGACTGGCTGTGACTCCACTGCCACACTCCAAAAGCCCAGCACAGCCCCTCTAAGGTTGTGCTGAATGAAATGAACAAGGAGCTGAAACCAAATGAGCAGTGGAAGACCAGAGGTGGAGCTGCGCTGAGCTAATGCCAGCATTCTTCTGAAGGAAGCCGGTTGAGTTATAGCAGAAAGGGCACTGCATTTGTCGTTCTGAGCCGGCGTCGACCTCTGCGCTCCAGAGCTCACTGAGTGTGGCTTCTGGGGCATGTTCGTTAAACTCCTGAGCCTCACTGGGGAAAAGGAATTATAGTGCCCACTCAGGAAGACGAGAGGGTAGAAATGGAAAACCACTGATGCAGAGCCTGGCACAGGGTGGGTTCTCAGCATTTCTCGTTTTTCTGTCCCTTTCTGACTTCCTGCAGAGCTTTTTTTTTTTTTTTTTGAGACAGGGTCTCATTTTGTTGCCCGGGCTAGAGTGCTATGGTGTCAGCCTAGCTCACAGCAACCTCAAACTCCTAGGCTCAAGCGATCCTCCTGCTTCAGCCTCCCGAGTAGCTAGGACTACGGGCATTCGCCACCATGCCCAGCTAATTTTTTCTATATATTTTTAGCTGTCCAAGTAATTTCTTTCTATTTTTAGTAGAGATGGAGTCTTGCTCTTGCTCAAGGCTAGTCTCGAACTCCTGAGCTCAAATGATCCACCACCTCGGCCTCCCAGAGTGCTAGGATTAGAGGCATGAGCCACCATGCCCGGCCTCCTGCAGAGCTTTAAGATAGACTGGCCGCTGGGAAGGTGAGTGAGTCTGTACCTAATTCAGTCTCTGCTGAGGTGGAGGATGGGAGACCTGGCCCTCCCTCCATGGCCAAGTACACTCCCTCCACAGGGTACATCGTGGATCCCTGGAGTCAGGAGCTGGGGTCCTCAGTGATGCCTGTAGCTCTTTCTGGCTCCCCTTATGGTCTGCTGGAGGAGGATCAGCTTCAAAGGGCCTGCCCTGCCACCAAAGGCCATGGAGCCCTGGCAGGTCACCTCCTGTCTCTGGGCCTTATCGTCCCCTCTCTGTTTAGTGGGTACAATCAATGACCATTATCCATCCTTTTCTGGAACTGCTGACAATTAAGAGGGCAGGAGTAAATGCGGATGGATGTTTCTAGCATGAAACAGGCTGGGTCAAGGTAGGTGCCTAGTGAACAGCTGATGGATGAATAAATTAATGAATGAATATGAGAACTGTCACCAAGAAGGTCAGATAGGATGTGAACCAGGGCAAAGAAAAGATTTGGTGCCAGTATCCTCCTGATGCCTAGGTCTGGACAACACTGTTCAGAACCAGGCCCCTGGCAGCCCCAGCCTGTCCCATCCCAGCTGATTCCTCCTGAACAATGGCCTGTGATGGGAGAATGTGGGGGAGAAGAGTGGAGCAGAGACCAAGGGACTTGGGGAAGGTGGTGGGGCTACAGAAAGGAAATGTGAGAGTCTGGGGACACAGGGGTGGGAATGGAAATGGGGAGGGAGGGCACAGAAAGAGGGTAGCGCTAGGGGAAGAGGCCAGGACACAGGGTGGGAGCGAGGACTAGAAGAGCTGGACTCTGGGGGACATAGTAGAGTAGCCTGCAGGAACCCAGCAGGCTCTGAGTAAGTGTCTGCTTATGACTAAAGAGGAAATGGATCAAGAGGTCAGAATGGGAGAATCCGGCAGATGGGGGTGGAGGGGGGGGGCCTCGTGCATCCTCGGCCCTGGCTTTCCCACTCCCTCTGGATGCCCGTCCTCACCAGGAACACGCCGTGGGCGTACAGGTGGATCCCCAGCTGGATGCCATTGACAATCTTCTCCCGGGCCCACTTAGGGATCCCGAAATTGGCAATTAGAGCCATGACTGGAACCGCAAAGAACCTGAAAGGGAGGCATTGGGTTCATAAAGACACTGCCCCTGCCCTCCACCCCATCCCATGGCCCCACCTCCCCTGCCATGCACACACACAGGGCCCAGGGAGGTCCCCAACTAGAGGGAAGCCTGTGGGACCCTCCAAAGCCAGACGTTGAAAGGGGACAGGCATCCCACTTGCCTGGAACATTCTGGGGGAGTGAGGGCTAGGTTGAATTCCCTCCCCCAGATCCTGTCATCTGATAGGAAATCAATAGATGTTTGAGGAATGAATTAACAAATGTAATACTTAAGGACTTACTGCATGCCAGGCCTGTTTCTAAGCACTGAACACATAAACTAATTTAACTCTCATCGGGACTCTATGAGGGAGGTACAATTTCCACCCCCATTAACAAGTGAGGAAACTGAGGCAGAGAGAAGTTAATGGACTTGTCTAAGATCACACAATTTATAAGTTTTAGAGCTGGGATCTGAACCCAGGCAGTCTGGCTCAGAATCCGACTACCTTACTGCTGTTATAATAATAATTACAACATTTTTTTTAAAAATGTGTTCTCTACTCTTTTTTGAGACTGAGTCTTGCTCTGTTACCCTGGGTAGAGTGCAGTGGCATCATCTTGGCTCACTGAAACCTCCAACTGCTGGGCTCAAGTGATCTGCCTGCCTCAGCCTCCTGAGTAGCTAGGACTACAGGCACGTGCCACCACACCCAGCTAATGTTTCTATTTTTAGTACAGATGGGGGTCTCGCTTTTGCTCAGTCTGGTCTCAAACCCTTGAGCTCAAGAGATCCTCCCGCCTCAGCCTCCTAGAGTGCTAGGATTTCAGGCATGAGCCACTCACCCAGCATTACAACATTTACTACGTGCCAGACACTACGCCCTTGTATATTACCCTATACGTGCTCTCCTTTACAGGAGATACTTGTTTTATGGGTAAGCAACCTGATGCACTCCTTCCAAAAGTCGAGTTTTTACTTTCACCTTTTTTTTTTTTACTTTGGGAAAGTAAAGTCACAAAGTGAGTAAGTGGCAGGTTCTGGGTGACAGGTGCCTGAGTTGAAAGCCCATCTTCCTCACTGAGGAAGGTCTGAGATAGGGGGCAACCACTTCTGGGTAGACCCGGGAGGCAGGGACAGGTTGGGGGCCCACGACATCTCACCAGAGGGTGTAGGCAGCAAAGAAGGGCACATAAAACGGCTGCTTTTCAGGGAAGTGTCGCAGTGAGACGAGCACAGCGTAGCAAAACCACACGTAAGCCGCCACCTGCAGCCCGATGAGCCCATAGCCGGCTGGTGACTCGTACGTGTACAGTACCTGGCCCGGGTCAAAGAACTGGACCCGAGGGAGAGGGATCATCATAGCCTGGCTTCCTGCCCTCCATCAGGGTCCCCGGACACCACCCCTGGGCACCCAGGGAACAGAAGTACTCAGATCAGAAGCAGCAGGAGAGCCAGGGATGGAGACAGAGCACAGAAAGGTAGAGAGAGAGGGTGAAGAGACAGGAAAAGAGTACATCACTACCTGTGCCCAACATGGGGCTAACACCTCCCATGTGTGATCTTAGTATTGCCCCATTTCACAGAAGAGGAAACTGAGACTCCGAGGGAAGCCCTTTGGCCAAAGCTGATCAAGTGACAAAGCTTTGGAGGAGCCCCCTGGGGTAGGTAAGATCCTCCGAACTTCTCAGAGAGGAAACAGGCCCAGAAAGCAGGGTCATCACCCAAGGTCAGCCTGCTAGGAAGTGGGACAGCCACATGGAATCCGGCATGAAGGTGACAGACGGCGAGAGACAGAGGGAGGAGAAGAAAGCCACTCGGAGATGGTGAAGAGGGGAGGAATCAGTTAGACAGATGGGAAGGCAGAGTTTGCAGAGTGGGAGAGCTAGCAAGCGGGAGCTAGGTGGGGAAGGGCTAGCGGACAGGTCAAGGAGGAGGCAGCCGCCCAAAGCTCGGAGGGGATGGGGAGGGTGCGGGGGGCGGGGCCTGGGCAGGGGCGGGGACTCACTTCGGCCTCGTAAATGAGCAGCACCACGTGGGTAAGCGTGTACAGGGTCATGTAGACAGACAGCTTCACAGAACCCGAGTGGCTGATGCGGCCCCTGGCGGCAGGCCATAAGGGGAGACAGCAGGGGTGGAGGACGTCAGGGAGAAAGGCGAGGCCACGCCCCACGCCCCCCACCCCCACTCCCCAGCCCAGCCACCCCAGGAGCGCTCCCTGCCCGGGCACCGTGTCACCGTGAATCCCTTCCCCAGAAGGATTAGCATCAGCAGGAAGATGAGGAAGCTGGAGGAGAAGAGCAGTTTGGCTGGGAGAAGGGAGGAGAGGGAGCCTCAGAGCCGGCTCAGAGAGGACCCCTTCCCGCCAACCTGCGGCCAAGGGCTCCCTCTCCTGGGCCCCACTTCATTCTCACCCAAGATCTTCACACTCTCGTTGCCAATGCCATCGGTGGCATACTGGCCCCAATAGATGCAGAAAAACAAGAGGCTCAGGACTGGGGGGAGGATGGAGAGAGAAGAGGATAGAAACCAGCTTTGGGGCATCACTGTCCTCTAGCGCTATGATCCGAATGATCTGAACCTCGCCTCCCCCATCGGGACTCTAGACTGACCACTAGACATCCACTCCTACTGACCTACTAGGAGACTCTGGCCCCCAGCCCCTCCTCCCCTGGGGCTTAGGGACCCAGGCCCAAGCCCCTTCTCCCTCAGACCCAGGGGTCCAGGCCCCATCCCCCCAAACAAAGGGGGCAGGTCCCCAAGCATTCCTCTCCTGGACCCCAAGTCCCTTCTCCCACAGAATGCAAAAGTTGGGACACTAAACCTCACCCTCCACTCCTGCTGCGGCCATGAACATTTTGTAAGTTGTGTGGAGCAACTGACGACCTTTCAGCAAATCTAGGAAGCAGGGTGGGGAAAGACTGTTCACAGACACGAAGGGACAGTAGCTCATCTGCCCCAACCCTTCTCTCCCCGTAGCTCCTCCCCAATGCTCCATGTGCTGGACTCACATCCAAAGTAACAGGAGAGGAAGAAGATGAGGATGAAGATGAGGAGGAAGGTCACATCTGTCTCCAGGATCCCTGTGGATTTGGTAGGAGGAGGAAGGGTCACTCAGGTTGGTGTCCCCTCAGTAGGCACTCAGCTCTGACATCCCACAGAGATCCAGGCTTCTGACATGCTCACCAAACTCATCGGCCGAGAAGTGTCGTGTCCAAAAGGACTTGCCGTTGGTGAGGACCATCTCGTACTCCAGCTGCAGTCCATCTCCCTGTGGGGAGTGTGGAGGCCTAAGGGGGGGCCTGGGCAGGTGGGGGGTTGGCAGGCAGGCAAAGAGGAGAAGGCCAGGTGGCTTACCCCGCACTTGCTGAGAGCAATGTACCACCACCTTTCACGCACTGAGCGGAAGCTGCGGCCACTGGAGCAACTCAGGTAGTGGGTTCCCTCCTCTGACACCACCTGGGGACAAACAAGAAGGCTGCAGCCTGTCCTCCGTGCCCCCAAACCCTCAACCCTCTGCACCTGCCCATGCCCAGGCTGGGCCCGAACCTGGCAGCCTGACCAGGCGTACTGGGTGGTGAGGTTGATGACCTGATTGTTCTCCGGCCTGATCACCGACTCCTTGGCCAGGCAGTCCTGGGGAAGGCAGGGACAAGGTCACTACTTCTTGGCCAGCCCAACCTTCTCCCCCTCCCCCCACACCCTCTTCACAGCCCTCACCTTGTCCCCTGCCTTATACACAGCTGGCCACTGGGACGGGTCGTCGAAATAGAGGAGGATGTTCTGACAGCACTTGGCCTGCAGGTCCAGAGGTTTTGGGGGTTTAGAGGAGCCCAGGAGCCGGGGTAGCCTGTGCCTTTGGAGGCCAAGGCGTGGGGGGTGTTGGGGGAGACTCACCTCAGGGTAGCGGAAACGGAAGTCCAGTCGGCCGTAATCCGAGAGGAAACAAAATCTTGTCAGGAACACCCAGTCCTGGAAAAGGGGCCCAGTCAGACCCTCTCTGCCGGGTTCTTCGAGAACTCTCCTCAACTCCACAGATCCCCAACTTTTCTTCCCTACTCTCAGGTACCCGGTTTCCCAGGTACTGTTAGGAGATCAAGTCACCTCCAGAATTCTTCCCTGATTCCTTCACTGTGGGGCCTAGATTCCTGCCATCCTGATTTTCCCCTCAGTTGTCCCCCAAGTTTGCTCCCCTCCTCTCCAACACTCCTCCCATTTCCCAGGCCCCTGAGCAAGACCTTGGAGGGCCAGATGCCCATCCTGGCCCCCTTGTGGCCCACAGCACCCCACCCCATTCCCCTAATATCCCCCACACACACACCCCGCCCCCACGGTGCTCCCAGAGACCATCCCCGTGCTGGGGAATCTTCCAAACGGCCCCTCCCGGTCCTGAGCGGGAGTGTGGTGAGCTCGGGCCTCTCAGCGGAGTGAAAAGTGCTGTCCGTTCAGCACCACCTCTGCCGCACCCCCCCCAAACTCTGACTCTCCCAACCCGTTCCCCCCCCTGCCCAGCTGTGACCTCAACGTCCCTCCTACAAACCCCAAGTCTGGCCTTGACCCCACGGCCCCCCCTCAGTCTCGACCCTGGCCCGGCCCCCCCATCGTCCCGGGCCCCATCCCCCCGTGGCTCCCCGGGTCCGCCGGCAGGGGCGGCAGGGGGCGGGGCGGCACCGTCTCCCTCCCCTCCCCGGCGTCCCCCCTGGGCCGGGTGGGCAGCGGGGGAGGGCTCGGCGTGCTCACCTCCTTGGAGCTGAGGTTGCCCCGCACGTACTTGGCCCGGGCGCGGGGGGGCAGCGGCAGCAGCAGGAGCAGCAGCGGCGGGAGCAGGCGGCGCAGCGCGGGCGCGCGCGGGGGCTCCATTCCGCCCGCCTCGGCCCGGGCTCCGCTCCGGCTCCCGCTCCGGCCCCGCGACGGAGGCGAGAGCGCGCGGGCCGGCCAGTGCGCGCCCCCGATTAAAGGGGCCGCCGGGCGCCGCGCTCCCCGCCCCCTCCTCCAGGATGGCCCACCCTGGCTCCTACCCTGTACAAGTGGGAGGAGATGTTCATCCTCTGTCACCCGCCCCAATCCTCCCCTCTGGGAGTCTCGCGAATATCTTCCGTTCCCCGTACCCTAAACTGAACTCCCATTCCCCAAAGCTATATCTCCTCCACACCGCCCGCCTTCTCCCACAACCCCTAGACTGGCACATTGTCCTGGCCTCCCCCCAGTTTAGTCCCCAAACTATTCTTTGATTGCCCATCCCGCCCCCATAAGAGCCACTCTCTGATGTGCCTAGCCCCGAGTTGCCAGCATTCTAGATCCAATGCACCCTGTGAAGTGCCAACAGAGGCACAGAAAGGGCAAGCCACTTCTTCTAGGCCACACAGCATAAAAGCAGCAGAGCCCTCAGCACAACCACCATACCCTATTGCCTGACCCTGACCTGTTACTGCTTACCAGGGTATGAAACTGGGTTGCTGTGAGACAGAGAGGTGGTGGAGTGAGACATCCGACTCATGATTCTGAAATAAGTTTTCTGGGTTCAAATCCCAGCCTGGCCCCTACTTGCCACTTGCCCAACGTAAGACCTCAGCCAAGTCATTCACCCCGTCCCCTCAATGGAACTCCCAGTCAAGTCCTTTCTATGTTGGCATGGACCCTATGGCTTCCCAGTGGGCCACAGGGAGCCCTAGAAATGCTTTCCAGAGTAGAATCCAAGCCCTTCAGCTCAATTTTCCTGATCAGACTCCAACAAACATTTCTAGCTTCATCTGTCCTCTCCACCGCAGAAAATTTGGGGACTGCTCAAAATACCATTTAAAAAAAACTTTCTAAGCCAAAGGGCCAAGCAGGAAACATAATTGAGTGAGTGAAAGACTTTCTTTTTTTCTTTCTCATGGCCTGGACAATAGTTCAGTGAAAGACTTTCGATGAAGAGTGTGGACCCCATGAAGAAGGGGCCTCTGCTACATGGCCAGTTGTTGCCAAGAGGGAGGAACTGTAGGACTGCTGCCAGATCTTTTTTTTTTTTTTGAGACAGAATCTCGCTCCTTCATCAGGGCTAGAGTGCAGTGGCATCAGCCTAGCTCACAGCAACCTTAAACTCCTGGGCTCAAATGATCCTCCTGCTTCAGCCTCCCCAGTAGCTGGAACTATAGGTGCACACCACCATGCCCAGCTATTTTTTTCTATTTTTAGTACAGACTAAAAATAGAAAAGGTCTCACTCTTGCTCAAGCTGGTCTTGAACTCCTCAAGCAATGACCTCAAGCAATCCTCCCACCTCAGCCTCCCAGAGTGCTAGGATTACAGGCATGAGCCACCATGCCCAGCAGAGAAATGCAATTTTTTACAAAAGCAAATCGTCTGATTTGTAACAGTAAGCAATTGATTCAAACATTTAAAATATATTATGGGTAAAAGAAAAAATCCTGTGGGCCGGATTCAGCCCTGATCTGCCATTCCTGCCTTGAGCCTGCACATACACTGTTCCCTGTGCTCATCAGACCAGGAGGCCCTCAAGGGCAGGCCCAGATGTGACTTACTCTAGGTCCCAGCACAGCCTAGGAATTTGCTAGGGAAGTGGTCTCACATCCACTATTTACCCTCCTCCAGGCCTTGCACATGCTGTTCCCCTTGCCTGAAATGTTCTTTTCCTCTTCAAATAGCAAGTTTCTACCAATCTTGAAAAATGCAGGGTCTGTGTGAGCTCCTCTATGAAGACTTCCTTCATCACTGGGACAGATTCATCACTTCCTCTTTGGACTCCTCCAGCCTCTGCACCTCTCTTATTCTCCTAGACACAACCACTGGAGCTGAGAGTCTCATAAGGACAGGGCCTTGGGCTTAGTCTCACTCACTCTGGGACCCCCAACATTGCCAGTGGTGTACGTGTTGGACTAACTGAAGCCCCACGTTGTTCCATCCTGCTGGCCCCTCAGGCCCTAGAAAGTGACAGGTGGTCGTACCTTTCCCTCCATTTTGGACTTAGAGCTAAGGAAAGCTGCTCTCCTGGGTCAGTGACTCACTGAAAATCAAGAGGACCATGAAGAAGGTACTTTATTGAGGTGACTGGGAGTGTGGGATACCTGCCCCCAGCCCTAGCCTCAGCCCCCTCAGTACAGTCTCATGGGTGGAAAGGACCAGGCTTCCGGACTGCTGTGGGCTACCACCCGGGAGAGGCTGGGAAGCGGAGCAGGGGGGCTGGGGCTCCAGTCCAGGGCAGAGTTTCGGGGCAACAAGGGTGATAGTGGCCCAGGCAGGGGCTGAGGTGGGCTGATCCCCCAGGGCCGGGGATTGGGTGGTGTGGCTACCAGCCAGATGCTTTTCAGTAGGTCAAAGGCTGTTGGGGGGCCCCAGGCCACCCCTGATGGTGAAGGCAATGAAGGCAAGGGGGGTGGCCAGGGACCTCTTGGTGGTGCCAGGCTCACCCTGTGCGCAGTGGGCGTGCTGGAGGTGTGAGGCATGGTGAAGGTGAGCTCCTTTGTCCCCTGTGGCCTCCTCTGCCTCCCCTCCCCTGGGACCTGCTCAGGACTGTCGATCCAGGAGGGTGTCATCCTTTGCTTCTCAGGGCCCCCAGGCTTGGCCCCTGGCACAGAGGAAAGAAGCACAGGGGACAGCTGAGTTAAGGGAGACAAGGGAAATGGGAGTGCAGGGGCAGGAGATGAGCTCACCTGGCAAGGGTGGCTGGCAGCCCCGGAGCACCAGGGCAAGGTTAGGCACACAGCCATGGCAGGACTGTAAGGTGCCCAGGATGGTATCCCTGGCCTCTTGTACCAGGTTCCTCCTGGGAAAGGCCTGTGGCAGAATCAGCTGGCACCGCAGCTCCCTCAGCAGCTGCCCTGTGCCAGGTAGCTCTGAGGAACTGGGTGGGCCTGGGCCTGAGCCTCCAGGTACCTGATTCTCCTTGCCCCTTGACTGTAGAGCTGGCTCTTGTGCCATGTCTGGGCTTGTGAAGGGCTTGGTGGGGAGTGGAGGGGTGCATGGCTCCAGGGCCCCAGTACTAAGAAGCCGTGCCACGTCCAGAGATTTCACCTCGTGGTTGAAGAGACCCCGGTGCTCCCGGCTCAGCCGGCCTTGAGTTATGACTACAAGCTTGGGGGCAGAAGTGGCCACAGGATCCCGGAAGGCCACAGGTGGATCCTGACTGGCCACAGGAGCATTCTGACGAGCCAATGGCCGGCGGCTGCCCACCAGGGCCTCATTCCGTTCCCGCCTGGTCTTCTGACGGCGGACTCGACCAGGTTTCTCACGCCGTTGGAAAGACTGAGAGGCTGACCCCCGGGGGTCCATGGTGTCCTGGAAGATAAAGATAGGGTGGTCATCAGCATGCAGGTAAGTCAGGGTGCATAGCAAAGTGAGTAGGGAGAAGAGGAGATGGTTTGGGGTGAAGTGGGATTGCTAGTCAAAGAGATAAGAGAAAGGAAGTGGGCAGAGAGTGATTGGAGAAGGTTTGGTCAAAGAAAGAGTCATAAGGGTTGGATGAGGTCAGGGTAAAGATGATTAATGGGAAGAGACGTCAGGGAATAGAGAAAGGGTTGCTAGGAACACGAACGTGGAGAAATAGTTAAAAGATGGAGGATGGGGAAGGGTCATGAGATCAGAGGGATTTGAGGGACCAGAAACGGATTCGGGCAAGGGAGAAATCCAGGGGATATGGGAGAATACAAAAAGCGGAGAGAGACGGTAGAGAAAGAAAGGCAGGAGAGAGCGCAGCAAGAGAAAACCTCAGGAAAACAGAAAGGGAGGCAGGAGCTAACAGGGACAGGGGCCTGGTCGTGGGGCGGAGGCAGAGGGTAGGAGTGGAAAGCAGAGTCGGGCAGTTGAGGTAGAGCTGCGGGCAGAGTGAAAGGAGTGGGGTACAGTTCTTGGGGACAGGGTTGGGGAAGGGCACCTCACCCTCTCCTGCCCCAAAGAACCCCGCCCCTCCTCCTGCCCCACGTGGCCGTGGGGCGCAATGGCTTCTTTTCCTCAGTGACCCCAGCTCTCGAAGCCCCCTGGCGCTCTTCCGGACTCAGTCGCACCGCACGCATGCGCGTGCCCCTCACACGCCCTTTGGCTTCTCGGCTCCCAGATACCGAGAAAGGACAGAGGCCCAGGGACACGTGCCAAGGGCCTGGAGTGCCCGTTATAGCCCCGCCCCTCCCAGCCTCACTTTCAGAAACCTCCCTCATTTGTCGTTAGCACCTCCCATCCACCAATTGGTTGTGAAGTTCATAAGGTCCGCCCACCTCCTGAATGCTGATTGGTTTACGCAGCTATTGGCTGTCTTTGGAGGGAGAGATGAGGTGAGGCAGGAGGGGGAAAGGGGTGATGGTAACCCCTCTGCTCAACCAGTCCCTAGGCAGTCACACACTTCATCCCTATAGCATTAGTATAGCCTCAGCAGAGCGAAGTGGCTCATGCCTGTAATCCTAGCACCTTGGGGGGTCGAGGTGAGAGGCTCCCTTGAAGCCAGGAGTTTGAAACCAGCCTGAGCAAGAGATAGCCTTTCTTCTCTACAAAATATAGAAAATTTAGCTGGGCCTGGAGGTGCGAGCCTGTATTCTCAACTACTGGAGAGGCTGAGGCAGGAGGATCGTTTGAGCCTGGGAGTTTGAGATTGCAATAACTATCGTGATGCCACTGCACTGTAGTCTGTGCTACAGAGTGAGACCCTGTCTCAAAAAAAAAAAAAAAAAAAAAAAAGAATTAGTATAGTGTGATGCAGAACTAAGCTAGGTTGAAATGCTAAAACTCGTGCATAAGAGCTGGGTGACCTTGGAAATGTTTATAATTGCTCAGAGACTCAGGTTCCTACTCTGTAAAATGGGGTTAGTATCTCCCTCAATCGGTTGCTAGAAGCATGAAGTGAATCAACACATCTAACTTGAAACAGTGCCTAGTGAATGAATTGAAAGCTTTGTTTCTCAC